AGTGCACTTAGCCATGAATTTGTAGGAAACATAGTGACATCATTTTCAAATTCATATCCTAAGACTGATATGCTTCATTATTCTGAGGCATAATGGGAAGTAGTCTTCCTAATCTTTCTCTAATGTCCCTGAATCTACACTCAGCTTGGATCTTTCCAAAGTTCCCATAACTCCTTTCTCACCTATCTGAACAGCAGCCAACACAGACATGCACTGATACGTGCATATAGGATTATATAGGTTTTTGTGAATATATTCACACACATGGTATTGAACTATACATCATATTCTGCAAATGCTATTTTCATGTCTTACAGATCTGTCCATATCAGAATATATTGGCCTACCTCATTATTCCATAGAATTGTATGGAAAAAACCCACATACCATGTCAATTTAACCAATTTTTATTGACAGGCATTTGTGTTGTGATCTTCTTCCTATTAGAAATAAGGCTGTAATACCATCCCTGTTCAGACTCCTGGTTCATAGGTGTGAGTATTTATAGTTAGTGTTTCTCAAATCTGGCTTCACATTAGAATCTTCTGGAAAGCTTTTAGAAATACTGCTGCCCATGCTCCATAGCCCCTCCATCCACTAGTCCAGTTAAATCAGAATCTGGGGGTGGAACCCAGGGATATTTATAAAATCTCCCTCAACTAACTTTAATGTTCAATTAAGGTTGAGAATCACTACTAATTATGAAGAATTGGAATTGTTGAGTTGAAGGGTCTATACATTTTACATTTTGAACTCATTTTGTAAATGGTTACATTATATACACTTGTAAATTATGTAGTATCATTACTTCTGCTCTAAGTAAAGTTCTCAGGAAATCTGAAAGTATAAACCAAGTACCAGGAAAGGGTCTCTTTCTAATGGGAGCTCCTCCAAAATGTCTATATTAAATGAGTGTCCACTCCACCCCAAGTCATTATTTTCACAGTACTGGGTTTGTTTTCTTTGATTCATAGGCATAGCCCAGAGATATTGCTGGCTTGGGTCCAGACCACCAAATTAAAGCAAACATCGCTATAAAGTTAGTCAAATGAATTTTTTGTTTCCTAGTGCATATAAAAGTAATGTTTATACAATATTGTAGTTGATTAAGTGTGCAATAGCCTTATGTTTCAAAAAAACAATGTATATACGTTAATTACAAAATACTTTATTGCTAAAAAATGCTAACTATCCTCTAAGTCTAACTACCTGTGGTTGTTTAGTCAGTGATTAAGCATGTTAGACTCTGAGAAGCACCAGTAAAATCAAGGAGAAATACTGGTTGCTCTCATTTCTCAGACCTAGAATTTCCAAATAGAAAACAGTATTTATTTTATTTTATTATTTTATTTTATTTTATTTTAATGGCAGTATAGTTAACAAAAAACAAGTATTTTATCTTAGCCAAAAAGAACCTAAAAACCCACACTATCATACAAGACACAGATTACACACACACACACACACACACACACACACACTCACACACACACACACACACACATTAGAAGGTGGAATATGATGAGCCATCTTTAGTAATAAATCTGTCCCTTCTCTGCCATTCTCTTGCATTTTGGTAAACATCTAATGTTATACAGCAATGGTACAGTTAAGCATGAGGAACACTTAGAAGATCTAGCCACAGAGCGTATCAGCTGTCACTGAGAACGTGATTCCTCAGCTGTTCCCCTTCTTTCTCCTTATAAGTCCTATCACATAGTCCTATAAAAAGGAGGGGTCAAGACCGCAATTTTCTTTTGATTCTGATTATCATATTAAACTACTCAGGATCATAGTTGCAGAAAGTCTCTAAATTCTTCTTTCTCTATATAACAAATAACAAATAATGCCTAACCAGGTGACATACATTGTGTACAATAGGACTAACCATTTTTAAAAAGTCGTCAGTGTTATATATTATGAACATGTTTAGACTTTCCTTCTATATTATACCTGACTAAAACACAAAGATACGTAGGAATGAGACCTCACATCTCTTTTATTTGAAGTTTCAGGGTGAATTTTTACATTTTTAGATTAAAAAATTTTTTTTTACATTTTAGGATAGTTCTAAACTTATGGAAAAGTTGAGGGAAGTTCCCATGCACTCCACACCCAGTTTCTCTATTGTTAACATCTTATTTCAGCATGGTACATTTGTCACAATTAACAAACCAATACTGATGCGCTATTATTAGCTAAAGTCCATGCTTTATTCGTATTTCCTTATTTTCCACCTAATGTTCCTCTTTTATTCCATGGTTACATCTAGGATACTACATTACATTGACCCATCATGTTGCCTCAGGCTCCTTTAGTCTGTGAAGTTTTCTCAGCCTTTCCTTGTTTTTGATAATCTTCACAATTATTAAAAGTGCTTGTCAGGAATTTTGTAGAATGTTCCTTAATTTGGAGTTGATTGATGTTCTTCTCTTGATTATACTAGGTTATGGTTTGGGGGAAGAACCTGTCAGACATTACCTCAGCAACACAGTCAAGGTTAGTATCAACAGTAATATCAATACTGATAGCATGTACCCTTGAAAGGATATGAATGACACCTGTATCTTTGTGAGCACTATTTTTTAAGCAGAAAGTTTTATGCCAACATGTTTTCCTCTGGTCAATAAATAAATCCAAGATATATAATTGGTAACACAAAGGGATTTTGATATATAGTGAAATCAAGACATTTCCCTCTTAATATGAAGTATTCTTATTTCAATCTTTTATTTTTTATTTGGCTCAGAACATAAAAAGCTCTTTTACAGGTAAGACCGTCATAGATTTTAAGGGATTTCCTTTTTTTATTTTTTATTTTTTAATTTTTTTAGATTTTAAGGGACTTTTGCACATAGGAAAGTACTAAAATGGGCTGTGGGGGTTCCCGGGTGGTTCAGTCGGTTAAGGGTCCAACTGTTGATTTTGGCTCAGGTCCTGATCTCACAGTTGCATTTGTGTGATCGACCCCCGAGTTGGGCTCCATGCTGACAGAAAGGAGCATGCTTGGAATCTCTCTTTTCCTCTCTCTTTCTGTCCCTCCCCTGCTCGCTCACTCTCTCTCTCACACAATAAATAAATAAACTTTAAAAATAAAACAAAATAAAATAGTCTGTGAATTAAAGTAAGAGTTTATCCATCATTCAGTAATTGCAGAAAAACCCTATTTATCCTTTGATAGTCCAAAGGAAAAAAAATTGATGGATACATTTCTGCTATTTAAAATATAGTGTTTCTATTATAAAATATAGCATTCTTTTTAAAATCCTAATCCAATTATTTAAATTTGAGATACACCATATTCTTAGGTAAAATATGTTCAGGTTCTCCTGTCTTGTATATAAGAAACGAGTACCAGCAGCTATTGTAGGTAATGATCGAATGTTTGGGGCGGGTGGGGTAGCAAAGGAAAGAACTAATAAAATGCTTCTCCTGAACCTATGTGGATAATACAATCAAGTAGATCATGCCACATCAGGAGATAAGGCGACTGATAACTATGGGTCAGATGTGACTTAAATGAATTATTGCTAATATGAGACTTTAAAACACTCTTAGCTATAATATATGGAGAGGAATAGTGACCTTTCCCAAACTGGGAAATGCTTTTATATCAGACCCCAAAAAATGGCTAATAAAACTGTATCTTTAAACAACAGTATTCAACAATTAGAATATAAATGTGAGGACTTATACATATATACTTGTACATATATGTATATACATGTATATGCTCTTATATATCTAATGTACAAATATGCTTTTTTAAAACCCCAACTAACTAGTGGGTTTTTGGGTGTTTGTTGTTGTTGTTGTTTACTAAATAATAACTACTTTTTAATTAAATATTTCACAAGTTAAAACAACAGAAGTGAAGATGGGTGCATTGTTTAATCTTATGCTTCTTAATATGAGAATCTAGCTTCGTCAGCTGAGGAACCCAAAGACAGAAAAGGAAAAACTTTCAAGTTACCCACCAAAGCTCACACAGTATTAATAATTAAAGTCCTTTTCTCTCTTTATTTGTCTGCCCACTTTGATTAAAAATATACCTTATCTCCATAGTATGGATAAAAAATTTCAGGTGATAAATAATTAGGTTTTATGCCATTTAGGAAGTAAAATGGATTATCTACGCTGACAGTTATCTTATTATTAGAAAAGCTGTTTTGCAAGAAGGTAAATCTTGCTGTCATTCCATCCTGTTTAATTTTTTTCATTATAGAAAGAAAATTAAGTTATAGGAAGTAGTTTTGAATTCTCTTTTCTTTAGTATGTAGTTCATTACAATTAAAAAGAGAGAGGGAGAGAGAGAGAGACAGAGGGAGGCAGAGTTTGTGCTCCCTAGAAGGGAAAGCACTTTAATATTTGATGGGCTCTCCTTATACGTCTGCTTTTTATTTTTAAACACCACCACCTCTTTGCTGACCAACAATTTCTTGCAAATTATGGCAAGGGGGGAGGAGCATGAGCAAAGTAGCTGGGTGAAAGTTAGTGATACTCCCTGCCAAAATTCCAAGTTGAAATCAAATCCTTTGGTAAAGTTTCTTGGGCATGAAAAAAAAAAAAAAGATTTACAACTTCAGAACTGTAATTCTACCAAGCAAAAGTATCAGTCAATCTACTTTACTGTCACCAAAGGATCTGAAGCTGGCTTTGTCATACTTCTTTTTCCTTTATCTATGGAAGTAGGAAAAAAAAGGCAAGAGGAGTTTAAAAAAAATTGATGAAGCCCTGACCCTCTAGATTCCATTTATAGTCTGAGCCTGAATGCCATCCCCCTTGACTAGCGAACCGTCCAATCCAGCTGCATGTGTCAAGATTCTATTAGGCACTAAGTGAAATATATATGCATGCCCTTATACCATTTAACATTCTGGGTCCACCTTCAAGACACTGGGCTGTGGATCAACTGAAGCACCACTTCTCTTCCAAGAATCATTTTGACGGGTTCTTTTGAAGGTGCTCCTTTTTTTTTTTAACCTGTCCTTTTAAACAAAATGGCACCAAAGAAGGAGGTGAAGAAACCTGCTGCCGCCCCAGCCCCAGCCCCTGCCCCGGCCCCTGCGCCTGCACCTGCGCCCGCCCCGGCCAAACCCAAAGAAGAAAAAATTGACCTCTCTGCCATTAAGGTAACTAAAGGGGTGAAATGTTTGGTCACTGAAACATCTTTCAACAGTAAGAAACTCTAGGAACTTGCAAAGGGGTATATTTTTCATTGAGAGAAATGGCGTTACTACACAGACTGGTAGATTTGTGGGAGAGAAAAGAATCCTAATTAAAAATAAATAAACCCTAGAATATAATTTGAGTAAAATTACTATGGATATGATAGTGTCTATGGAACCTGTATTTTGCTACAGTTTTTGTTCTCTGGTTTTCTTTTTTCCCTAAATGGTCAAAGTGCAATTTAGGGACAAAGCAGTGTAAAAAGGTGTTTTGCAAATGCTTAAACCAGTGTTTTATTTTGTTCTGTTTCGTTTTAAACAAAACCTCTGTGGAAACAGGACCCCTTACCATAATGTTACACCAAAAAGACATTTTTAGCCCCGACTTGTTTCCAAAAGTTTTAAAACAGCTGATAACTGACCCAGTTGTTCTGGATGTATTTATTTGACAGCTGCTTTATTTCTTCTGAAAAACAGAAGGTTTTTGCAATTCAAGTTAATTCCCCCTTCAGCCTTGCTTAATAAAATTTGATACAACACCAAATTAGATCTCAGTGCAGACAATTATGCACTCAAGTGTTTCAGTGACTATAACTGTCATCTTGTTTATTTAGATACAGTACTTAATTCAGAATGTGTGAGTTGCTTCTAAATGAAACTAACCCCCCAAATAATATAAAACTTTGTTATATGGCTTTTAGCTTATGTCTTTGAGCTCTTGCATACTGATCTTCAACTAAGGAGAATGTGATTGTTTTCTGTGTCGACACTTTGCTGTGATCAGTTTTCAATTGCCGCAAGATTCTCTGCTTTTGGGAAAATGACGCTGCTCATGTGCCTGTTACCTCTCAGTGATGTGATCCATCAAATGTGCTCCTTCTTCTCATTCACTGGGGCTTGACTGGGCTGAGTGACAGTTTGAAATCTTTATCTAAAGAACTCTGCCTTATATGGAAAACTATTGGGCAAAAGGTCCTATTAGCTGATCTTTTCTCTTAATTAAGCCAAAAGTTCTGTACCTAATAAATCTAAATTTTGCTAATTTAATACTGTCTACTGGCAATGACCAAGCTGACCTATAAACAAACATTTCATTGACTATTTTAGTATAATCATAGATTTTTAAAAAATACTCTTGACATAAATATTGGATTGGATCATCCTCAAATATATGTGATAACATTAAATAAATACATTCATAATTTTTATAGCATTCTGGTTAAACATGAAATTATATGTTCCAAAGTAGGAGCGGATTATCACAAATATTTTATCTTGAGTTTTTAGGTACCTAAAGTCATATCTGAAAAAAGTTGATCAGAGAATCTAATATTGGTTAGGAATTATTCTTACTGAATACCCATTTAGGAGGAGAAATGCATTTTATCAGATTTTCTGATAAATGGTTTTCTACCTAAAAGACTGCATATAGTTCATTAAGAAGAAACCAAATTTTTCATCTCCAGCAATTCTAGTTAATGTATCTTTATAGTTGCACACTGACTACATTATACAATGAACGTGATTACGGCCACTACAAGAATTCCAATCATCTGTTACTATTTGACTATCCACTCCATACTAAGATTAGAGATATGAATCAGTGTCAAAGCTATTCCACTATATTTATTGTGATTTATAAGACAATGTTACCTCTTTGCATCCAGTATTACAAGTATCTGTGGAAGGATGGGAAATATGCCTTCTTAAGAAGAAAAACAGGGGTGCCTGGGTGGCTCAGTTGGTTGAGCGTCCGATTTCATCTCGGGTCATGATCTCACGGTTCGTGGGTTCGAGTCCTGCACTGGGCTCTGTGCTGACAGCTAGCTCAGAGCTCAGAGCCTGGAGCCTGCTTCAGATTCTGTGTCCCTCTCTCTCTCTGACCCTCCCCTGTTCACGCTGTCTTTCTCTCTCTCTCTCTCTCAGAAATAAATAAAACATTAAAAAAAATTTTAAGAAGAAAAACAAATATCCCACTAATGAATGCAAGCCTTAATTTTCTTCCCTGAAGAAATACAAATAAGTCTAATCGATTGATTAATTGATTAAAAATTTAGTTTGGCAGTAAGAAGCCTTCAAGAAAAGACATCACTTTTTAAAATCCGGAAATTAAACTGATTTGCTTGTCCACAGTCAGCAAAGAAGAGATATTCTTTTGAATCTTGAAGGTTTATCCTTTTATCTATATGTCGAATTCATGCTAGCGTGACTAATGTAACTAGAACAACTAAGTAAAAGAAGAAAATAATCTTAGAGCGTCTCTGCAGTGATGAAGTATGTCCCATCTTCACTAGTTCATTACAGAATGAGAGATGGGATGGGTCCTGATAAGGGATGCAAACCAAAATGGAGCAGTTAAATGAATCTAGAAGAAACAGGAGGAATTTAACCTTCATCTTTCATTCAGAGAGCCTGAGTTATTATTCCTAATAAAGAGAGAGAATAAGAGAAGGACAGGACTGAAACTAACACATTTTTGTAAAGGAATTTAAAGACCTTCAAGGATTTGCATTCATCAATAGGAAACCAGTGCACATTTAAAGGTATTATAGCCAAAGAATGGGTTACATCTTGAGAAGTATATAAAATTTAATTTCATCCCGGTAGGTAACAAGGCTAATTAAAATGTACATTAAAACATTTCATATTATGATGCTTTTAATCACTTAATGATGTTTCTAGATATATTACCTCATATAAGTTATAAACTTTTTTCAGGCAGAGAAAATGAACTCTAAAGAAATTAGTAGAGCTGTTATATGTGTTCATTAACTTTCTGAAAACTCAATAAAGAACAAAACTTAATTGGATTTTAAACTTTCTTTCATAAATCATATAATATTAGAAATCCAGCTGTCCTTTAGTCTTTGAGTAATGCTAAAGTTTAACTATCTCTGTGTAGTATTATAGGCATGGCAACAGTAATATTTAATTCTTCACTACTATTCCCAGCTAGTACCTGTTCCACTTTATAGTATATCATCTTTAATAGCTATATATTTAACTCCCCATAAACTCTGAACAATCTTTAATATTGTTAATTAGTTTTATCAGTTTCTTTAATGTGCTTTCCAACCTGATTTCCTAGTTTGTTGGTTATTTACAACATTTGTTCAGTTGTTCTGACATAAAATCTCTGCTATTCACTGAGGGAGCACTTACCTGATGTCTTATGACTGTGGATTTTCCAAGAGTGTCCTTTTCAAAAACACAAAGACTGCTGATGTTTGAACATTAAAGTTACTGTCCTGGACGGTTCTAAACACTTTGCTTTCAGAGACCTGACACTTCCAGCAACAATGCCAAACTAAAGAACACTGCCTGACAGAATCTCAAGTGTAGGAATTAAAACCCACCGTGAGTATAGTTGCAGGCGCAAACACAGGAATTAACACCTGCTGCCCAACAGTTCAGCCAAGTGTTGAAATAATGAAAAGAAAATAAGTAATGGGATGACTATGTGCCTAGATTTTAAAAGATCAACATGTAAGTAAATTTTTTGCACGGTGCATGCCTCAGTTGATATTTCAGGATTACTATGAGGAGATAAGGCTTTGTCTGATGTCTTTCCTTGTACTGTTTGTTTTAATTCTCACTGTTTTCACTGTAATTCAATCAGGTCATCTCTGACTAGATGCTGCAGGCGGTATTTACAAAGAGTGGTAAAGGTACAGAATGCATTGACAGAAACTCACCAAATAATAAATCTCAATGATTCACCACATACTTGGGGAGATTTAAACTTTCAGTTTAATGGGTAATGTGGAATATAGCATTCCCAAGAAATACATCTATTTACTGATGGGTATTTAGTGGAGGCAAATATTATATATAAACCGCAATTCCTGACTGGCTCTGGTCCAGGTATAGGACTTTTTGTGTTAATCTACAAATTCATTTTTTCTCAGCTCTAACAAGGCTAATACAAACCAAGTCCCACTTTGAAGAACTGTTGAGAAAATCAAATGAGGTCATGGCCCATGAAAGGCTTTGAAAATTACAAAGTTCTTTGTAATATAATAATAAATATTCATTGTGAATTAACTATTAGCTTATTTAATCCTCAAAACATTATACTGAGGATGGGTTTTAGCCTCATTTTACAAGAAAAGAAATCGAGTCTAATGAGGTTCAGTGCTATGTCCATGATCAAATACCTAGTAGGTGATGGAGCTAGGATTTAAGCTTGTAGGCCAAGTCCAGACTCAACTTTGGTAATCGTATCCCGAACTACCTCCTGTTTATAAAGAGTAAGTTGCTGTTAAGAATGTGTGAAGAACACTTTTTTTATTCTTAAAGGTATGAGGTAGAGTGGATCTCATATTGCCCTGCACAGTCATGTGTAGCCAGAGGAGGGGGAATAGACACACGTCAGAGTAAGTTCACCTAGACTTTTGACCTTGGCAGTTCACTACTCTTCGGTTCTCCACAGATCTCCCCTATCTTAGCACTTGTTACTGACAGGTTGGGTGCTCTCTTTTACAGATGGAAGGTGGGAATATTAGAAAGACTCCTAGTCACTTTGATCCAGTTTCCTATAAAAAGTTATAAGTGGAACATAGATATTTTAAAAAATGTTGTTGTGTGAGTAGATTAATAGTTGTCAGGGATGGAGCTAGGGGTGGCATAAATGTGTGAATATGGTAAAAGGGTACAAAATTCCAGTTATAAGATGAATAAGTTCTAGGGGGGCCTGGGTAGCTCAGACAGTTGAGCGTCTGATTTTGGCTCAAGTCATGATCTCATGGTTTGTGGGTCTGAGCCCTGCATCAGGCTCTGTCCTAACAGCTCAGAGCCCAGAGTCTGCTTCAAATTTTGTGTCTCCCTCTCTCTCTGCCCCTCCCCCTTCTGTCTCTCAAAAATGAAATAAACATTAAAAATCATTTAAAAAAATGTTTAAAGATGAATAAGTTCTGGGATCTAATATACAGCAGTTGACTACAGTTAATAATATAATATTGTAT